AAACAGCTGTCCATATATTTGCAGGTACATGGATGTATAGAGCAATCTCACAGATTGTTTTTTCATGTTTTATGGAATCTTTCAAAAACTTAGTTTTTAATTTATTAGACATGTCAGAGCCTGTATGACATTAAAAACAATTATTAACAACAAATATCCACATCCAACCCACTTCATTGCTAAAAACAAGTTCTTCCACCCTCATTTCCTTCTGATATTGTTACAGCCGACAGTCCACCTTCACCACCACCAACCATCAGCGACTGATGGTCCACCTGCACCCCACAACACCCCCTGCGTGTGATTAATACAGATTGTTTTTACGAACATGACATATTTTAAGGCTCATTATACAGGTAAACGTCTGAWGGGGATGACATGTATGTACAACTAACTTTTAGATATATTTTGGGAGTTGTCTACAAAGTGAATAAAATCTAAAACAGGGAACAGGACAGTAAACTTGAAAATGCTAATAAAATATGAAAAGTTCTGTGTTTATTGACCAAAGTTATAAAGATTTAATTATGTAGTATTTGCAACATGACAGTTATTAAAAGTATATTGATTTAGGATGAACAGAAATACTAGTTTTTGATTGTTTATTACACAATGCACCAGATTTTTTACATTATCATTTCAAACAAAGAGCAACCACCGCATTTTGTAATAATTGCTGCAAAATGTAGTAACGCCATTACATAATGCGGCTGCAAGTATTACAAAATGCGTTGAAGAATTTTCTTACATTTTGCGTCAATTATTACATGATGTGGTTTTAGTGTGAGTTTATTACAATTTCAAGCCTGATTTGATTACATTATTACATAATGCATTGTTATTACAATATGAGGTCTTACAAGGATCAAATTCAAAATGAGTGAACATTTGCAAAAAAGTGTTTAACTGTTTTAACATTAAATATCTTGTCTCTGTGTTTTCAACTGAATATAGGTTGAAAAGGATTTACAAATCATCATATTCTGTTTGCAATTATTTTGTACAACAACGCCCCAACTTCATTGGAATAGAGGTTGTATGAGAACGTTTTTGTGTCCTGACATGACCTTTGTTATGAATTGGCACTATATAAGTATAATGAACTGAACTGATCGGCACAGTCATGACATTATATAGTGGAAACAGAACCAGCAGTGTGAAAACTAAAAAAAAACTAAAACAAAAAACGGCAAACCACCATAAATGAGTTATAAGGACTGAACTGTTCTCCTGTGATCTAAAAGCACACAGTGATCTGAGTTTGAAGAATCAGGGAGAAAATTCTTAAGCAAAGGTCAAACTAACCCTGCATCAGTATGAGACCAGTTCTGTTTAAATCATCTTAAATCCCTTCAGTTTCAGAAACTCTCTGAGGTTTTTATTATCACAGTGTAATCAAAGCATTGCTTGTGTCTCACATGGGTATAGAAGTGTATAGTTAAAGCCTATTGGTCTGAAACTTGTTACCGTTACTAAATGTAATGTAATGGCACTACTTTATGTGGAAGGTTACATGAAGGGCAGTGCTGGCTCTAGTCATTTTGGTTCCCTAGGCGAGTTGAAGCGCAACCCCGCCCCCCCCAAACTATGTCCCATCCACCCCAATTTGAACCCCTAAAAACAAGTTTGACAGTGTAAGATACTATGGTAAACTTAAATTTATTGCTTTCCCAGAAAGCAAATAAATAACAACATACATGTCAACTTGTACGGATTGTCCGTAAGCGAGGCTGACCCCCCCCCCTCCCCCGCCTGGGTGCGAGTTGTATGGATTTTTTTGCTAAATTTATGGATTTTTGAGGCGTTTTATCAGGTAAACATCCGAAGAGATTGACATGTTTGSGACARCAAAATACAGACTTGTTGTTATTGAGTTTGTCAACACGAACCACTACCTGAGAGGTGCTACTAGCTCCTCCCCCGTTAGAGTGTCGGAGCAGGATGAGCCAGTGCAACGTCAATCAAATGAGAGAGAGGGTGGGGGCGATTGCTGCATTGGGTGGGGAGAAAATGTTTTATGGGTAGTTTATTTTTCCTGTAATACTTCATTATAGTTTTTTAAGACAAAGCTAATTGAAAGGAACACTGAGCAGAGTTACAACCAGGGATTACAAATACCGTATTTTTCGGACTATAAGCCGCACCCGCCATTTTTTTTAAAAAAAATCCGCCAACGTTAACATATAAGCCACACCGGACTATAAGCTGCACCCCCAACATAAAAAAAAATAGTACACCCAAATTTGCCATCAAAAAAGTGAATTCAACATCAAAACATAAAAAGCAAACCTTTAAGAATAAAAGTTCGGAGGAATACGGTTCATTTAACTGACCTCATTTTGGGTTATCCATGTAAAAACCGCACCGGTCTATAAGCCGCATGGTTCAAAGTTTAGGAAAAAAGTCGCGGCTTATAGTCCGAAAAATACGGTAACTACTTTTTTTCTTCAGCAGTTTGGCGCCCCCTCCAGCAGGTGGCGCTCTAGGCGACCGCCTAGTTCGCCTATGCCAAGAGCCGGCTCTGATGAGGGGAGGCGGAAAGACACACCCATAGGCGAGATGTCAATACAGTTCTGTGATCTGCAATGTGAAAAGTGTTATTTTCGACATTAAAGAAGATAAAAAGAATATCGGTGGCATCCTTGCCGCAGCATAACACCACACTAAACACATTATTTATAAATGGGCAGAAAAAGAAAAGCACTATAAAAGTCAGTAAAGTTTTAATCGCTGTAACTTGTTTTTTTAAGGATGATTCTATAACTTATTTCATGCAGGAGAAAATCTGAATAAAGGACAACCCAACATATTTTACTGCTGCGTGGAGTTTTCAAACATACTGCTGTTTTTTTTGACTGATGCATAATGCACTGACAGCGTTAGCGGTGTAACAGTTAGCAGACGGTGTACTGTTAGGACACAYCGTCTACAGTCAGGATCAGGACTGCTTATTGAACTATTTCACACCAGAGCGAGGTGATAAAATGCAGGATATTTTTTATTTATTCTGCCAGCGTTGCTTCGATTCCGAGGTGTTCCTGCAGTCAGAGGCTCGTCCTCCTGGATGTGTGGAGAAACTGCTGTTAATTCTGATGAAGGCATAGGGATGATATAAACCACACTGTTTGTTCAAGATAGGACTGATTGTGCTGCAATATGTCGCATGACCACAGTCATCACTGCAGACTGGAGAGCAGTGTCCCATGCTTATTAAATCAGTGGTGTGTGCCTCTCGAGGCTGTGTGTGTGTGTGTGTGTGTGTGTGTGTGTGTGTGTGTGTGTGTGTGTACATGTGTTCATCACAGCTTCTCACTGCAGGCTCTCTTGACACAGAACAAAGCGCTGACTTGCCTGTGTTACTCATGAAAATAAATTTAAAAAATGCTCCCTTTTGATCCTTCCTCATGCATTTGCCTAATCTCATTCTGTGTCGGACTAAAACAAGTCTCTGAATGTGTTATCTGGACATCTATTCAAGGTGATGCTTTGATATTTATGAGGAAACCCTCATTCATATTCATCCCCGCGAACTTGTGTGCGTTGAATATTTTTTGCTGCATTGCTCATGTTTTCAGGACTTGTACCTCTGAGTCTCTGTGCTGTTTGTTTTTTTTTTCCACAACACAAGTTAAAGTGACTTGCAGGTGTTTGAGCACAACAGGGTTGAAGCAAAAGGCTATTGAGCTTGTTTGACTGTTGGCTGAGCTGAGTGAAGGATCTGCCCCCAGACATTTGCACCAGAGCATCCTGCTGACTTGCTCACAGTGCCATAGAAACAGGGTTCCAGAGAGCAGGAGGCTCAGTCCGCTCAGGAGCAGGCGAGGGAGAGGATCGGGAGGACTGAGGAGGAAAATAAAATTCAACAGAGAGAGAGAAGGAGGGAGAGAGAGGCAGAAAGGAGCAGAGGGACAAGTGGAAGTGAAGGATCAGAGTGGGAAAAGTGAGAGGCGCTGTCACCGGTGAGTACACGCTGTCACAGGTTCACACCTGATCTTCTGACCGCCTCGTCTTCTTCTTTGTTGCTTTTTGGACGGTTTAATTCCTCTGGCTTGTGTTTATAGCGCTGAAGTGAAACAGGTTGTCATGTTGTGTGTGTGTTGGGTGTGTAAAAGTGCTCTGATGCAGCGCAGCAGTGACTGTTTATCTGTTGCAATCTGACAATTCTTCAACTCCACTTTTACAAATGAAATGCTGATGTAAAAAACATTGTTTATTGCAGCCCTGACCACATTACACTGTTGTGTATGAGGGATGAAGCAGGGTTTTAATGTTTGATCAGAGTGGATGTTACACACCTCTGTTTGTTACATCACTCTGAACTAYAGATCCGTCTTCTCTACAGCTTTATCAATTATTGATCACCTGAACAGATTCTGCACAGCAGAGAGGAAGAAACTCATTCAGCTGCATAGCGTCAAATGTTAACTCAGGTCACTGCTTTGTGTGTGTGTGTGTGTGTGTGTGTGTGTGTGTGTGTGTGTGTGTGTGTG